AAATTAAAACAATACAAATTATTTAAACTATTATTATTGTTTTCTATTTAAATTTACTTTAATTTCTTATGTAGTTATTAAATTTGAAACTTTTTTCAGCAACGCATATAATAAAACTTGCGCAAACGGCAATGATTAAGTTGTCTAAATTAAAAAACGTTTTCGTGGACGCACGAGACGAAAAACCGCACGACTTTCTTGGGAAGGCTTGTTACCTGTTATAGTCTTGCAGAAGTGTTCTCTGGAGCTGTCGTCTATCCTTTCAAAACTATTCAACAAGTGCATATCAGAGTCTTGTTTTCCAGCCTGCTGGAAAGCAGCATCTGTTATCCTTATTTTCAAAAATTCCGGAGAGCAATCTGATTCGTCTAACTACCGTCCCATTCCATTAACATACCGTTCCATTCGTCTAACATACCGTCCCATTCGTCTAACTACCGTCCCAGTCTTCTTCTTATCATAAGCAAGGTTTTTGAATCTTTAATTAACAAACACTTAATCTCTCATCTTGAATCTAATAACTTACCTTCTGATCATCAATATGGATTTCGATCTTCTCGTTCTACGGCTGATTTGCTAACAGTAATAACCGATAGGTTTTATAATGCATTTTTTTTTTTTCGTTTCATTTTTGTCGTTGTTTACAAAGATAAACAGACAAGGCTTCTGATCTGATGTAAAAGGTTCTGATGATCTTATCATCAGAACCTTTTACAATTTTTTTAAAATCAATACATTAACAAAACTAAAAAATTACAATAAATCGTGATATAAATTGGAAATATAAATCAAACCACTAATGTTATATATAATAAAAAGTCTGATCATATCATCAGATCTTATAAAAACGTAAATTTATAAATACATATATATATATATATATATATAACATAGTAAATACAGTAATACATCTCTTTTTTTAAAAGGCAAGAGAAAATACAACAGATAATTAGATAAAGGTGGAGAGGTTAAGGCCATTGCTCTTGACATTTCTAAAGCGTTTGATAAAGTTTGGCATGCTGGTCTTCTCCATAAGCTATCAACTTATCTGGAAACATCCTTAAGGTTATTGAATCCTTCCTTTCCAATCGTAGTAAAAAGTTGTCCTTGATGGACAGCACTCTTCTTCTTATTCTGTAATCTCAGGGGTTCCTCAAAGTTCAATCCTTGGCCCTATACTCTTTTTAATTTACATTAACAATCTTCCAGATATTCTCACATCTAAGGTGGCATTGTTTGCTAATGATACTACCATTTATTTTTGTCTGGATAAGAAGCCAACTCCCTCTGATTGCTTGGAAGGGGCATTTGAGCTTGAAAAGGATCTCACTTCTGCTATAGCATGGGGCTCACAGTGGCTGGTGAACTTTAATTCAGATAAAACTCAATTTTTTTTAGCTAATTATTGTTGGGGGGTCAATATCTAAGTTATTGCAATAATTTAGATCTTCCTATATTTATGAATGGTAATGTACTTGATAAGTCATCTACCCTTCATCTTCTAGGATTAACTCTTACTTCTGATCTTTCTTGGAAACCATATATTGAATCCGTTGCAAAATTAGCATCTGATAAAATTCCATCTCTTTATCAAGCCCGACACTTTCTTACTCTGAATTCTATTCTCTATATCTATAAATCTCAAATCCGACCTTGTATGGAATACTGTTGCCATATCTGGGGCGGATCTTCTAATGATGCCCTTTCTCTTTTAGACAAGGTGCAAAAACGCATTGTAAACATAGTTGGACCTGCTCTTGCTGCCAACCTTCAACCTCTGTCACATCGTCGTAATGTTGCTTCTCTTTCTCTTTTTAACAAATACTATAATGGGCACTGCTCGAAGGAGCTAGCGTCTCTTGTGCCATCTACTAAAATTCATTCTCGTTTTACTCGTCATTCAATTAAGTCTCATCCTTTTTCTGTTACTGTTCCTAAGTGCTCCAAAAACTCTTATTCGTCTAGTTTTTTTCCTCGAACATCAGTTCTTTGGAATTTGCTTCCTTCATCTTGCTTTCCTGATTCATATAATTTGCAATCTTTTAAGTCGTCTGTCAATCGTTATCTTGCTCTACAATCTTCATCTTTTCTCTTCCAGTAACTTCCAACACTAATTAGTGGTTGCTTACAGCCTTGTTGGAAGCAAAGAAACATCTTTGCTTCCAACAAGGAAGAAAATTAAAAAAAAAAAAACTTTAGCTGCTTTAAAGCACTTTTAGTTGCACTTTTTTTATTTTTTGTTTTCCAAAAGTATTTTGCATTTTAAATACTTTTATGTTGAGTATTTTGTATTTTATATTTTAAATACCTTCGTTTCGTTTGTATTTGTATTTTAATTACTTTTTAACCCAGTATTTGTATTTTTATTTTAAAAACTTTTTTGAAAGTATATTTTATAACACTGTGTGCATATTTATGAAATATAATTTACAAATTGAATTAAAATAGAACATGTATGATTAACTGATAGGACAGTATTTGACGACTTACCTTCCTGTAATAAAATCAAAAGAACCTTTAACTACAAGCCAATTTAAAATAATTTTCATAACAGCATTTTCTAAGAAGAATTTTCCCTTTATTTTATTTACTAATTAGATTACTTATATTTCATAATTTCTTTAATTTTTTTTTTGAGACTGTTTAATTTTGGTGTTTTACAAAATTTTAAGTTTAAAAAAATATTTAACATATAGATTTTTAGTTTTTTAATAATTAATTATTATTCAGGAGTATAATTATAATTGATAATTATACTCCTGAATATAAAGTGTCCAATTTTTGTAATATTTTTTCTGAAATAATATTTTTTTTGGCAATTTATTTTAAAGACTTTTGGACTTTAGACTTATGTCTAACATAATTTATATATAACAAATAGATAGCAAATTTTATTTAAAAACTTTGGCATATAAAATTCGCCGAATGGTCACACACGAGCAGTGAACGCCTGAGGGAAGAAATGAAGTACATTAGAATAAAGGAGAATTATTTATTAGACAAAGCATATTTTCTAACATAATTTATATATAACAAATAGATAGCAAATATTAATTTTAAAAAAATTAATTTAAAAAAATATTAATTTTAATTTGAAATTATGTTATCAATGTGAGAGTATAATCTCAAGATTAAATTAATTACTTTTTATTTAATTTATTATATTATTTAAATAATAATTATTATATTATTTAAATAATTATTATTATATTATTTAAATAATTTTTATTTAATTAATTAAAATTAAAAAATGATAGGATGAGGTACTTAAACATAGGCTTTGTTTTCTTATAAATCAAATTCAAGTTAAGCGCAAAATGTTTGTATCGATAGGAACCACTTGCAAAACCTTTTGATATTAAAATTTTATTGTTATTTTTACATGGCTTCCATTTACTATGGCTGTAAGTGTGAAAACACGCGCAAACTGGCAATTAGGAACAAAAATTAACGCCGTGTTAGGACTTCTCAATTGCCTCTAAAGGATGTCTAAAAAAGATATAACCATTTTTTACGACGTCGTTTAGATGTCTCATTTTTATAATGTCTCAAGAATTTGCAAAAAAATGAGACTTCTCAAACTGCATCATACAGATATATAAAAAAAGATATTTAATATGTAATCGTCTTTAAGACGTATTTTAGATGCCTCTTTGATGTTTTAAGACATCTGAGACACTAAAAAAACGTCTTTGCGTCTGCTGGGATTCAATTTATTAACAAAGTCCCAAAAATAGCGAACGGAATTCGGTGTGATTTTTACAAATAATCTTTGGGGTTTTCCATAAATTACGTCACGCAGTTTTTAAAATTTTTTGCCTCCCTGCTCCCCCCTTCCTCCTCCATCCTCAATTTTCCTCGTAACACATCCGTAACACTTTATTGACCCCCCAACAATAACAATTTTGTACCCCTTCCCCCCCACACACACACACACTAAAAAAAAATTTTAAAGTTTTTTTAGGGAGGATGAAAAGGGTGAAAAATTTTACAAAATGCAAAACAATTTTTAATATAATAATGTCTATAATTCTATGAGCTTCTTTGAGTTAATTAATTAGTACTTTTCAGTCTGTTTAATGTTTTTTTTTCACCCCAATAGTTCCGTGTAAAATTGTATAAATTAACATCGCTCTCCTAAACATGATAACAATTTTAAAAATCTAGTTTTCCGATAGATAATACATGCAAAATATTACATATATATAATATATAATGAATAATAAAATATTATACATGCAAAAATATTAATTTATAAATACAATTTTCTTCCATCTAACAACGTTAACCGAGGATTACGGGTTCGTTACTTAGTATTGAAAGACTTTTTTTAGTTATTGCACAAAGATTGTTTTTTGTTGCTGCACACTTTAGTGCACCAACTAAATAAAGTTCTGCACTTGAACCATAATAATTCAAAGCGCAGAGCGTGCACTGCACACACAGCCGTAACAGTCCGTTAACAGACTGTAACGGAGTGTACACATCGACTAAGTAAGATTTAGGCGTAGTTGATTTACATCAACATGTAAGATAAATCAACTGAGGGTTTTGGTTTGGCCAGATATTCTTTTAATTAAAAGAACGTCTTCTCTAAAAAAAAAAATGTTGAGTCACAAAATCGAGACCTCTCCCTTCCCCCTAGTAACAAATCGATACAAAATCGCATAATCGTTTAAATACCAAATATAATGATAAATTTATTTTATTTAAACTGTAGTTTAAATAAAATAAACTAACCTATATTTTTAATATCAAAAGAACTTTTCATATTTTTAAGATATTTAATAAAATAAATCTAACTACTTAATATTTCACAAATACCATCATTACTAACATACTGTTTCACAAGTATTTTACTCCAGGAAATAATTTGCAACAGAAATAAACGGTTAAGTACAACAAAGCAATTTAAATAATTTACAAAAGAAATATCGTCTATATTAATTTTTTGTTTATTTTTTGTGTCATTTTACACAAGATAAAAAGAATAAGAATTTATTTCAACATTTTTACTAGTATTAATAACATTTTTAAAAATGAAGAAAGGGATCAACAAAGAGAGAATAGCAACAGTTTTCTTCTTATTTTGTGGTATTTATTTTATGTTAATTTATATATAAAACTTTTATAAATTGTTATATATACAGTTATTTTTGAGTTATGAGTTTTTTATAAGTATGGTGTTGTTTTTTATATAGAGATGCTAGTAATTTGTTAAAATTTTATAAAGTTGAATGCAGAAAACGCAATCTAGGTCATGTCCCAATCACGTGACTTGATGACAAGTTTTACATTTTAATTTTCATTACAAATAGTTCTACTTGCAAACTGAAAGCTCATGAATTATTGTGATAAACTAACAAAGCATTATTGCTTCAATAATGACAGTTTTGTAAAAACAAAGGATTTTTAAAAACGTTTGCCGTTTTGTCCCGACATATGTCTAGTCTTGCCCTCAAAAAAAAATGTTGTGATATTAATTTTTTCAGAGTTACTTCAAGGACATTATGTATTTGATAGTTTCTCTTTTGTTTTTATAAGTTAAAGTTTTTATAAATAGGCTTATAAATAAAGCCTTATAGCACTTTGTTTTCTTTTATTGTAATTCTTGTCTCAATAGAACGAAATGCTCGAGGTAATGGCATTTTTTAATTAAAAAAGCGCGATAAAAATTAAGTGTAAAAGTACAAATAATATTAATTTGATAAACTCTTCTTAAATTTTAGGTTTCATGTTTTAAATGTAACGTTGTTCAAAGTTTTAATAATTTCTTAATTTATGCAAACTCTTTTGTTTTATATATATATATACATACTCTTTTGTTTTATAAATATCTTTAACTTAGTACTTTTTGATGTGTTTTTTAGTATGTTGCGAGTCACACTTGCTATCAGTATACTGGGGTCAAAACTCTAACAGCAACGTTAAGTTAACAGCAGAAAGAAGCTTGAGTGAATATTGCAACAATTTCAATTATCAAATTATAAATATTGCATTTGTTGAAGTTTTTTTTAATCGCAATCGCAGTGAGTTTTTATCTTTAATAATGTGTGTTTTTATTTAACAAAACCACCCAAGGTTTAAGAGGTCCTAATTATCTTTCCAAATATTAAATTAGGGTTTTATTTGAGAATTTTTTCTATCCCGGGAAAGTTGTTTTCACCCCGGTTAATTAGCCTTACCTTACCTTACATAAGTAGTTTGTACTGTACAACGTGTTCCCTGATATTAAATGAAATATTAAAAAATATAATTGAATTTGTTTTATAATTGCTTTTTCTGCGTAATTATTTGGGTCGTCAATAAATTACGTACGCTCATAGGGGACAGGGGCTGCAGAAGGCTGGTGCACTTTGTTTAAATTTGACCTGTTCAAGTAAAACTTTGATTATTAATACATTAAATGTCGTTATAAAGGTATTTAATTTATTCGTACCACAACAAACAAAAAACTCTCAACTTTTTTTTAACGTTTTTTAAAACTTGTATGTGTGTTTTTTTATTTTTTTGTATTTAAGTTAAAAAAAATATTTAAAATGTTTATAAAGATATCTACGATATTTTTATAAACATTTATTTATTTGCGATACCCATACTTCTTTAATCATAATGTAATGAGGTTGGTGCTCTAGATCTAAATACACTCTGTTCCTATAATTAACTTTGCAGAACTCAATCACATGACAAGTATTCTTTAATTTAGTTTGAAGAAAAAATATTTATTAAATAAATTACATAAACTTTAAAGCTGCAGAGCCGACGGTGCCGTTTTTGACGTTAGAAATACCTAACATCCAGACATTGTGCAAACTCCAAGTATTTATATGTTTATACTTATGTCTAGTAAAGATACTTTTGCAAAAAATTGCGATGTTTTAAACCTGGGAACAAAAAAACCCCATAACTTGTGCCCCCTGCCCCAAACGTGAGAGCAACTAGTTGATAAAATATTTTATGTACTATTCTTAACTAGACTTATATTCATCGATAAATTTTAAGTTTCATAGTATAATCTCTTAGCATTCAAAAATTATGTCCATATAAAACTTGTAACCCCCACAAATTGAGGGGGTTAAAACTTTATATTGTCAGTTTTTAAACGCTACAATATTTTACTGTGAAATTTAAAAATTATCGGTTAATATTAGTCTAGTTAAGAATAGTACAAAAAATGTTTTATCAACTGGTTGCTCTCACGTTTGGGGCTGAGGGGGGCACAAATTTTTGGGCTTTTTTGTTCCAAGGCTCCAATCATCGCAATTTTTTGCAAAGCATACTTATTTGACATAAATATAAACATATCAATGTTTGGAGTTTGCACAATGTCTGAAAGTTAGCTATTTCTAACGCCAAAAAACGGCACCGTCGGCCCTGAGCTGACAAGCATCTAAACGTTCAGATGATTTGCAGTATTACCTTATTATCTATCTATGTTACTTATTATTAACAATGTTTTTATTTTCATCATAATGATATACGCATACACAGAAGCAATTTTAGGGGTTGGGGGCGGTGAAGTCTTCTCACCCCCAAAAAAGGCCATTTTCAAGTTATAGTTGGTTTTTTTACAAATATTAGTCGGCTAGTTGGGTATTTGACACAGTTCAGACGGGTAAGTTTTAGTTTTGAGGACCTTTTTCATTTTTTTCAGAAGCCAGTTGGTACATTTTAAAGTCCCCCCACTTTTTATTCGTGTCGCCTCTGTGTATACATTATATTATTATGATAAAAATAAAAAACATTATTATTAATAATAATTTATGTATTTTTAAATATCAGAATGTTTTATTAAATATCAGAATGTCTCCTCCCTCCTTTTTTATTAACTTCTTACTTCTTCTTTAATATTTTAAAGAAGAAGTAACATCTGGTTCCATCATTGCTTTCGTAATAATTTTAAATACTTGTATTTTAGATGCTTTGCCAGTCATCAATCTTTCTGATCATTGTTATAAACTTACTGATTCTGAATCCATTTTAAAATGTATAAGTATTGGAAAAGAAATTCAAAATTGTCAAAAAAAGGGTAGGTTAATAATGATTTCATTAGGAGGAGCGGACGGAGTATATGGGTTCAGTACACTAAACGAAGCTAAAGATTTTGCAACAACGATTTGGAATTTGTTTCTAGGCGGATCGTCAAACATTAGGCCATTTGGTAATGCTGTCTTAGACGGTTTGGATTTAAATATTGAAAAAGGATCTCCATTGTATTACTCGGATTTCATTCAAACAATGCGCTTGTTAATGTCAGGAGATAATTCTAAAAGGTATTATATAACTGGGGCTCCTCAATGCCCATACCCGGATCCTTATATGGGACCAATTATAGTTGGTTCTGTTTTAGAAAAAGTGGCAAAAGAATTCGATTTCTTATATGTTCAATTTTATAATAATCCATGTTTTATTGGCAGTACGGAATTTACAGTTGCATTAAACCAATGGTTAAATTTTGCAAATCAAATAAAGAAGCAGTATGACAAAGGTCCGTTAATTTTTATTGGACTTCTTGCTCATCCTCAGGCAAGTAATCATTCAGAGTATTATAGCAATCCCAATCAAGTTGAAGCCGTTTATAATGTAATTACTTGTATTATTTATTTAATTATTCAAATATTTTTGAAATTGGCTTTTGTTAAACAACGTGCTTTTTTAAGTAATCGCTTTTGATACTTAATTTTCTTTTTAAAAATGCATTTTAGATTACAAAATTCAATAAACACTTTGGTGGTATTATGCTTTGGGACGCTGGTTTCGATTCCGTAAATATTATTTCTGACAGTTATTATAGCAGCGCCTTGTCCAAGTTTCTTACAAAGGAAAACAATATACCTCTTCTCGTAGATCATATGGTATCGACTAACAATCAAGTAATACCACCTGAAAGCGAAAAGGACAAAATTGATGATAAAAACGTTTTTTACAACAATGCTTTTCATCTTCGTGTTTATTATTTACATTTGTTCTGTGCGTTATTTAACTTTATATGTTTAGAAAAATGAATAAATTTGTTCTCGATTTTATAACTTAATTAATATTTGAAGTCAGTTGAGTTTATATCAAAATAGTTTTACAACTTAAAAATTTTCTGTTTAAACATGAAAACACCCTTTACCCCAGTTTCGTATTAGCAACAAAAAAAAACACTGACAAAATTAAATTAACACGTTTATATCCACTCTTTTAAAAACAAAGAATAATATATCTGTTAAATAAACATATCGATATTGCTAGGGCATAATTTTTGACAATTTAATTATAAATAAAAAAAGAGTTACAAAATGTCAAGAAGTCTATATTTCGATAAAGATTTATCTCAGAGATATCACTTTAAAAACACTGGTGTAACTAAAGGAAATTCTTGCACTCGTAATTTTTTATAATCTTTCACGTACAAGTACATGTGTGCAACTTATGAAAAAATGCAGCAAAATCTGTTGTGTCGTTTTTGAAATCTATCTTACCATACCACGATGTATAAAGTCTGGCAAATGTCTGAGAAAAAATATACTCACCTTGAATTATACAAATTGAAAGTAAACAGTTTTTGAACATTTGTAAAAGTTTAGTGTTTCTTTTTAATGACCATTGCAATCAGCAAGCGTTTCATTAGCATAGTAACAGATAGACAAGCTCTGAATCTGTCGCTTTGTCAAGAAAACTGTTATATCTCATAAGAGGTCTAATTTCAGGACGTATTTGTTACATTTGCTTTTGATTTCCTAATATTTTGGCATTTAAATTTAAAATAATAGCTTTCTTCGTTCAATGATTTAACAACTTCTAAAAAAGATCTCGTTTTATATCTATAGGGATATGTCCTATAGGACAGGAAATGCAATTTTCCCAAAAGGCACCAAAAAATCTTTATCAAAATCATCACAAGCAGGTCATGTATAAGTGGAAATTAAAGTTAAGTTGACTCTAGAATGTAACATACAATTTAATCAGTAAATTCTAATGATGTTTACATAGAAGACTAACCTTTTTTAAAGTTTGCATGCCCATGCTAAAAAAAAAGTAATAACGTCTTTGCTTCGTTCATTGACAAGCGGAAACGCCACTGCTGTAAACCTTTTCTTTATGTCAAGGTCCTTTTTAGGCAAGATACTTATTGGACATTTACCGAGGTTAAATTCTCTACAATAACTGTTGAATGATTCCATAGACCATTTAAAATTCCGTTTTAGAAGCCGTAACGCAGTGGTTAGTGCGCTTGCCTCAGAATTTAATAATCGTGGTTCAACGCCAACTCTGGGCAAGTTTTATAATATTGGTAAGGAAGGAGACGTGAACTTTTTTTCAAATACTCTTCTGTGATAAGACCGTAAGTGACTTCTTGGGACACCTTAAAAAAAAAAAAAAAATCTTTGCTGTTTAATTCTTTATAAACAAATGTCAGTGTCACCTTTAAATGATTGTGAATGGGAAGCAGTCGGCTGAACGTCTGAATTAAATAAAGATAATCAAAAAAAAAAAAAAAAAAAAAATCAGGTAAATTGATCTTGAGAATTTCTGACACAAATAAAAAATATTTTTTTTCTATTTCAATGACGCTTTCTTAAATGAACAAATAAAGCAAACACCATAGTCATAAGAAGTAATCAGTCCATATTGTAGGATCACAAAGTGGAAATTTAACATCATCATTTTCATTGTAATGGTATAAATTCATGTTGGACTAGTAAAATTTGGCATAAATTGGCGTAAACGACATCGAAACAACTGGTTTTAAAACACTTTTGATTAAGCTACCTTAAAAAGTATACTTTTTAAGCACTCATTAAACACTTAAAAATGATTAATTTAATGATAATATAACTAAAATATTTAATACATTAATGAACCTCTAAAATTAAGTTGAATCATGTTTTAACTTAATTTTGTATTAAAACTTATCTAAGACTTTTAAAAGTTAATAAACCTAAGAATTATAAATTATAAAACAATACCTTAAAATGGTAACTCAGTATAAATAAAAGAAAAATTAAAAAATAATATAAATATGCATGACGTTAAAAAAAAAAACTTTCATAAATCACACATTTGAAAATTAAAATGAATAGATATAAAAATGGAATTAAAATCGCGCATAATTCCCGAAATCCCGGGAAATTTCGGAGACTAATCCCGGGATTTTGGGATGAACAATTTGTACAAAATCCCGGGATTTCGGGATCCCGGGATTGCCATCCCTTTGTAACACAATAAATTTCTGAAATATTAATTTTTGCCATTAAAAATTAATATTTCAGAAATTAAAATTGCCATTTCTTAAGAAACGTGTAATACTTTTACTAAAGCAAAAACATAACGAAACACATGCAATATTATTTTGAAAGCAATTAAGTCATTACTTAAAGATATGAAAGCTTTTATTTTTGAATATTTTATGTTTATGGTGTAGAGAAAAATTTCAATAAAATTTTCATTTTAAACCAACACACAATTTTTAAAACCAACACATAATTTTTAAAAACGAACACACAATTCTTAAAACACAAGACACAATTTTAAAACACAATTTTTTGATAACATTATTAACACAGTTAATTTTCTCGTTATGTAAAATTCAAAATGAAAAAATACATTTTTATTAAAATTAAAATTTTGTTACCTTTGCAATGCACAGTGGTCCACTACCATGTCATAAATACAAAAACATAGTTTGTTTTATGATATAAACAATTTAAAAATTGAATTATATTTAGTATGTGAAAACCAGATTTAAATTTTTAAGGTCCGTTATTTAAAAAAAAATTGTGTAAGGAGGGTTTGAAGTTCAAAAATTGACACAAAATTACATTTTTTCGGGCAAAAATCAGTTCGCAAACTTTTATAACTTCTCACTCCTACCAATGTCACAGATATACGAATTTTTTTAAATATTCTTATAAAATATGGAGGATCAATATAAAAGAATTTAAAATATAAAATTTCATAAAAAAGACACAATTTACCGCATGTTTAACACTTTTTTCTTTAAAATTGTTTGAAAAAAAACTTTGAACAATCAGGAAAATTTTCGCCCAGGTTTGCCCAGCTTGAAATTTTTTGCGTTTGAAAAAATGATGTTTATAGAAAATTTCTGAAAAAGTTTTGGCTGCTTTTGTTTGCTTTTGTGTCTATAGGCTCAATTTAAACACGACATACTTAAATAAATACGGCTATTAAATTTTATCGCCTTCGTGTATTTCATTCACCCCTATCACATATTAATGTTTTTGATTTTTTTGAAAAAAGATTTAATTTTCATAAATATTTGTTTTGATCTAAGCAGAGCGGTAGGCTTTTTTACGAGATTAATAAGTTATTCTTTTAGACAGCTTGCCATAACCAAAAACCATTTGCACCTGCATGTACACTCCACCGCGCCTGTACCTATTTTAGTCAGTTGATGTATGGACACTCCACTGCGCCTATTCCTATTTTATTCAGTCGATGTATGCATACTCTATTGCGCCTGTCCCTATTTTAGTTAGTCGAAGCATTAACCACAGCCCCTGTTGCTATTTTTAATTTAAATTTAGTTTTTTTTTTTTTGTTAATTTTTTTGTTAATTTTTTATATATGTATCACAAATATAGGGGAGAACCTTAATGAATGGGACAGTTTTCGTAAAATGCATTTTTTGAGGTTGATAAATTTGTTTAAAAATCACTTTGAAAATAGTTTGGTAACTGTTAACTCTCGTACTATGATAAACAAAAACAAAAAAATTGATTCCGCATATGGGTATTGGTAAAAAGAGAGTTTAATAAGACCATGGCATTCGTCCCATTCATTAAGAACTACTCATTGAATGGGACAAATAAAATTATTGAATGGGAAAAATCTAAAAAATTAATAAAAGAAGAGAGGTCCTAAGTAACTTTCAAGCCAGTCAAGCAGTAAGGGTAGTTTCTACCATTAGGGAACCCGAAAAAGCTATAAATATGGCCGAATGTCTGCATATATTGACAAACCTAAAATAGTTTTATTAAAAAATATATGTATATTAAAATTAAATTAAAAACACGAATAATTGTTTTTAGTAAAACAAAAAGCGTTTTTTAAATGCTTGGATATAATTCCCAGTAATGACACATTTCCAATAGGGAAATGAGTCATTGCCTGCAGCATCCCTATGCTAAATTATAAACAAACAACTTAATACCATATAAAGTATCTAGTTTACTTTCAAAAAACGAAATAACAAAGCATCTTATTAGATATTTAAAAAACTCATTGTATTTATGTTTAACCAAAATATAAAAATCAACAATTATTGCTTGTTGCAAAGTACATGAAATAAAAACCATCAAAGAAAGTGTAGAAGATATCAACAGTCAACTTCACATAGTTCACATTCATAATAACGCTTCTTGCTGTTATTATTACAATTACCACATATCCACCATTGACAAGTAAAACACTGAATCCAAGCAGGCCCAACGAAAATTTTCCAGTTACATTTGCATATTTTGCAAGTATTTTGTTGTTGTTGGTTTAACGGTGCATTTTTTACAGATGACACAATTAAAAAATCTGCAGGCCTTGCGATAAAGCGTCGGGCGATGTGAATTTTACGTCGTCCAAGAGCGATTTTGCATGTAGCTAGGGCTATTTGCGTCGAGCAAAAAAATTTTTGTTTGAGTATATTTAAAGATATTTTTTGTACGGAATTTTAATGAAGTAATTTAAGACTATTTTAACATTTAATAAAGTATTTTAAAAACCGAACGCAGTTAAAATAAAGGTTTGAATTAAAAAAAAATTATTTATTTAAAGGTTTGAATTAAAAAAAAAAATATGCTCATTATTAGAAGAAGAAGAAAAAGAAAAAATTCAGATTAAAAAAAAATTATAAATCTTTTAAGCTAACATTTTAATAAAATTATTCAATAATAGCAAAGTTGTCAATAAAATTGAACAAAAATACTTTCTTTTAGTTTTAGATTTTAAACTTAAATAATTATTTTACGGGGGTTTGTTAGGTTTAAAAAAAAAAGATTTAAAAATA